TATCACCAGCAGAAGGAATGGAGTCATTAGCACTTATGATTTTTAAATGGCCCCCAGAATTATGTCGCACGAAGCCCAATTTCACATAATTTTGGTTCCATTTGTGTGAAAACAAGCTCCAATCTGTCTGAAATTAACACATGATGGACCTGTGAGGTCAATGAGCACACAGTATCAGTGTCAAGTCTGGAGGTTGAAGAGAACCCTGTTTTCAGCTGAAATCCATCATTTTTTCTGACCTCTGACCCAGAACAGCACCAGAACAACGAGCTACGGCTACCAAACTGCCTGAGCTAGCTCTGGGTGACGGCGGCATGCCAAATCGACATTTGTTTGGTGAAAATCGGTTGAGAAATGCCACTTTGCCGAGCACATGACAGAAAAGGCGGGAAAAGTGCCGTACGGCCCCAAACGGACGCTTAACACGATGCGACCGGCACGAACTCGACGTATGTGGTTCGGGCCAGTGCTGGGATGCACCAGAAGAGTTTTCGGGCGCCTCGAATCAACGATGGCCGAACAGCGGCCAAAAAGGGTCTAAAAATCGTGGTTTCGGGCCTAGGGTTTTGCCCGTTGCTTTTAATTAATTAAAAATAGTTAAATTCCACGTAGGGACATGAAATTCACATATGTTGTAAAGAAGGACATGCCGAATCATAATATTTTAGCTGTGTGGCTGCCGTCAGCCACAGTCATGCAGTTTTGAGATAATTTATGGTTCAAGTTACGATAAATAAGCTAAGAATATTTTATTTTTAATAATGTATACATTATGGGGTTTAAAAGCACACATTTAAATGGTTTACAGAATATTTCCAGGGTGGAACCAATGTTTAGTTTGTTGTTTCGGGGTTGACAATATTTTCAGTTGCACGCCACACTTGATAGGCGGCAGCATGCTAACCGCTATCATTCGTTGGTAGAGCTATGCAGACGCATGCAACGACGTTTTCCAGCTGTGGAAAGGAGTGACACTGCAAGATGTGTTTTTTATTAACCCCTGCAAGTTAATGCGGCCAATGAGGTATGCAATGTGTGTGTTTATGTCGTGATGGGAAAATAAGATGTTTGTTTGTGACAGAACTGTCGAGTCTATGGTGGTCACGGGTAATTTGTAAATGTAAATTGTGAGTGTTTTATCTTGTGTATTAGTGTTTCATTGTTTATTCTCTATGAGAACGAATTGATTATTCTATGTCATTTGTACAGTTCTCACGGCACCGTTGGTGGCACCTGTGTGCAATAAATGCCAGTCAAAATTCAAGAACGCCTTGTGTCCGTTTTCAACTTGGAGGGAGTTACAGCTGCGTCACGCTACGTCGCTCACTGACCAAGTTCGGCCACTAGGGGGCGCAGTCAAAAAATATTTTTCACTCTCTGGTTCGGAAGTCCGGTACGAGCGCAAAAATCTACTCGCCTTTTTGATAGCCCTCACGGCGCTAGAATTGCGCCATTGCAAACTTGCAAAAATCATGCGCTTTGGGGGGCTATATCTCCGGAACCACAAAATATTTTGCCACCAAACCACCTCGGATGGACTCATGCTTGGCCCCCGAACCACATATCCGAAGATGGCGCCGCTGGCGCCAGCAGAACTTTTTCTTTCCACCTTCTACCAGGAAAACACAAGTCCTCTTTGAGGCGATGGGTCTAAGAGGGCATTTTTGGCCAAACTCAGACACGACATTTTTTTTCTTTCAATTTTGACAGCGGATTATTATTGCTTGGCACCACGGGGACCACCTCTCCAAAAACTGGACGGATCGGGCGTTCCCTTGAGGAGCTGTGGCCAAAAAAGGGCGTGACCTCTGGTGACCTAGGGTTCAGAAAAGCACCGGAACAAAGAGCTACAGCTCCCAAACTGCCTGGGCTAGCTCGGGGTGACGGCGGCATGCCAAATTGATGTCTGTTCCAAGGGCGTAGGAACGAGTTTAATATTGGGGGGGGACACATTTTGGAAATCTAACAAATCTGTTGTAGGTCAATATATACCGTAGGTCAACTTCACTGAAAAAATACATTAAATGATTATTTCTGATTCTAACGTGTCACTGAGTGTTTCATGCAGGCTGAACATGAACATAGTCTCCTGCCGCTATCTCCTGCATTAGCTTCTGATAGAAAATCTGATAGACGGTGAAACTCTAGGATTAGAAAAGTCTGACAGATGTGATTCAGGGCGTAAGGCAAAGCCCAGAAAGACAAGAAAATAACTTTTATAGCCCAGTTCACTAACATTCTGTTTTTTTTTTTTTTATCGGGGACCCATGAGCCAGCCAGAAGGGGAGGAGACTTAGGCTCCTTTTGACACTGTAGACCACAACGTTCTACTAAACAGGTTAAAGGCCCTGGCTGGGATTTCAGGTTCTGCTCTAGACTGGCTCTCTTCCTATCTCACCAACAAAACATTCACAGTGAAGTCCGAAACCTTCTCTTCAGATACTGCCTCTCTAACATGCGGGGTCCCACAAGGTTCAGTTCTAGGGCCTCTACTATTCGCATTCTATATTCTTCCCCTAGCTGGCATCATTCAGTCTTTCCCAGACATCTCCTACCACATCTACGCTGATGATATTCAGCTCTATATGTCCTTTATGCCACACCAGTTGGACAGGCTGGCCACACTTGTACTCTGCCTGACACAGATCAGTAACTGGCTGTCCAGCAATTTTCTTGTCCTCAATGCTAACAAGACAGAGACCCTGATCACTGCACCCCTGGAACTTCAGCCAAAAATCGAGCAAGAAATTGCCTCTTTTTGCCCATCAGCCAAGGCCAACATTAGAAACCTAGGAGTTATTTTTGATCCAGCTATAAGTTTAGACTCGCACGTCAAAACCATCTCCCGCTCTTGTTTCTTTCAACTGAGAAACATTTCAAAAGTCCGTAAACTGGTTTCTACTGCAGATCTGGAAAAAGTCATCCATGCCTTTGTGTCATCACGCTTAGACTACTGTAACGCTCTTTTTACTGGTCTCAGCAAAACCTCCCTCTCACGCCTTCAAGCCATCCAAAATGCAGCAGCAACACTCCTAACCAAATCCAGCAGATGAGCTCACATCACTCCAGTTTTACAGTCCCTCCACTGGCTCCCGGTAGAATATAGAATTCGGTTTAAAGTTTTAGTCCTGACCTATAGAGCTCTTAACAACCAGGCTCCAAGCTACCTATCTGAGCTTTTATCCCCACACACCACCTCTCGGAACCTTAGATCCACATCTGAAAACCTCCTGGCTGTTCCTCGGACCAGACTGAATGTGACTGTGGTTGTACAATATATGACTCACTAATACACTGCAAACTCCCTTAGAGTGGCATTAATGAATTGTTTATTTTTTTCAGTATTTAATTGACAAATTATCCTTTCAAATAATTAATTGATGAGTTACATAATTGTCCATTTCATAAAGAAACTGCATATCAAGCTTTCATTCAGATGACCTTCAACAGTGCTGCACCCTGCTGAGGGACATCCGAGTAAAACCTTGAGATGGCCATTTTCTGTTCACTAACTTGCTTTAGTAAATCCTTACTTTTGTTAAATAAATCAGTTGTTGAACCCCCACTCCTCTGTTTGGTCTCCTTTCTTATTACAGCCCACCACTTCCAGTCTGGGTTGTAACAATCTGCAGACAGATTTCTGAGTATCTCCTCCTTTGGTACACAGATCCTCACTGAGCCATGTACTGTGAACAAATAGTTTCTCCATGATATTATCCAGCAAGGTCTTGTTTTTGTCAAAACAAGGGTGAGGTAATGAAGAAATAGAAATATTTCAATAAATTAACATTAAAATTATTTATATGCATAATAAAAAAAACATGTTTTGAAATATATAAAGTGCACCAAACTTGACTCAGTCCATTCAACAATTCTAAATGGACAATTATGTAACTCACCAATTAATTATTTGAAAGGATAATTTGTCAATTAAATGCTGAAAAAAATAAACAATACATTAATGAGGCAAGAACTTTTTAAACTTGAACATACCTACACCCACAAGTCTATTTTTACCTGGTTAAAACCATCTAGCTCATGTGCACTTTTTAAAACACTGCCCAGCAAACATTCGGACATTTAATGACAGTTGAACGGTCACAACTGTAAAATAATATCACAGGAATTAGGAAAGAATAATATGACATCAACTCTATGTTACTTGGCCGGACTCGAACCTGGATCCTCCAGAGTGAGAGTCGCCCGCTCTCCCAGCTGAGCTATGGCAGCAACTGCTGAATATCAGATTTTTTTATATAGATAGCTAGAGAGTAAAGTGCGGGGTAAACTAACCAATCAGAGGATAGGGAAGATCTGCCACAGGCCACGCCTCCAGAGTGCCAAAACTCCTCACAGCCGAGCAAGCGGAATTAGAAACCGAGCGCGCAGAGGCTGCCGAGCGCGCACGTTTTCCTCTGCCGTGTGCTCGTTGGCAACGCGCGCACGCAGGTTTGTCACTTGTGCACATCCTTGTGCGCTCACAGACACAGTTTGCTCCCTCTCAGTGCACAAATGACCTCTCGCCATGTATATTTTCGCTCGCGAGTCCCGTTCACGCGCGCGCTGCCATATATATTTTCGCTCGCGAGTCCCGTTCACACGCGCGCTGTGGACCCAATGCGCGTGCACGGGTTGTGGCACGCTTTAAATGCGATACACCTGCTGATGAACCAGTGGTTGCAAATATGCAGGAAGTTGCAGAGGAGGGCAGTGATGTGCGTGAAGCTCTGATGCGACACTTCACCCGCTGACCTCAGTTTGTGTTTTTTCTTTCCATTTACTTTGTTTATTGTTTTGACACTTTTAACAGTTGGAAGCCTGTAGTTTGAACTGAAATGTTTGTTTTGTTTTCAGAACTTAATAAAGTACACTATTTTACTGTTAACAAACTGTTGCACCTTTTCATTTTAACATATATTTAAGGTGGGCTGTAATGTAATCTACATTTATTATGTAAATTTGCGAGCAAAAATTTTTAAGACAATTCATGTACACCTTGTTTTTCTTTGAAAATTTATTGATAAAAAGGACAGACGGATAAAAAAAATTACGGGACAAATACATAGCTCCTTACTGCCTGGGTGGTGGCAGGAAGTCAGAGGAGCTGCCCATTCTTTGTGCGACCAGTCCAAGAACAGCATTTAGGGCACCCAAATGTTCAAAATATCGCTCTGCGATCTGTAATTCATGTTCCCTTGCTGCTGCTGCGTCTTGTTGCATCCAGTTAACCTGCTCCCGGCTTATGCCTTCCATTCTGTCCATCTGCCTGCCATCTGCGATCTGCAACTCATCAAATATCACCTGTGTTCGTGCTTCCAATCGCCGTCTTCGGTCACCTGGAAACAACAACATTGACAATTACATTTGTGTTTATATGGATAACAAAATGTCAGTTGTCCTGTGAACTTGTCAGTTTTGTTTATGCACAAAGCAATTTTTAGAATGGTCAGACACTACCTGTGCGTCGACGACATGGTAGATGTTCCTCTCGAGTGGTAGTGGACAGAGGTGATGGTGGTGGCGATGGAATTGGCCGAGGCGATGGTGGCACAGAAGGTATGGACAGAGGTGATGGTGGCACAGAAGGTCCTGGAGTGCTACTTGAGGAAGTGGATGGTTCCTCTGAAGAGGGAGTGTTTTCCGCTTCAGATGTGTCTGAAAAACACAGATCAAAAAATTAGTCAGTAAGAAAAAATCACGAAATAAATCGGTAAGAAAAGCACAATATTTTTACAGCAAAAGAGCACGTAGGCATATAGTAAACTTAATAAAACTGCTATGAGTTAAGGCCATTTTGTCATTTGGAACGTGTCCACTAGATGGCAGTAATTCGCCAGTGACGTACAGATTAATTGCAATTTAATGTTATATTCTTATTCATCCGAAAAATATATACTTGTTAAAAGTCCACTCTAGGCGAAAAACACTGCTGGCACGACTTTTGGGATATTTATAATATTAGATCAGCTCGCTTCTCCTCACTGTGCGTGCTCAGCTGTATAAAACAATGAGATGCAAACAACACTGAGATGCTAACGTGAAAGGCTAACCGAATTTCCCATGTTTTAAACAATGAGACGCTAACAAGAAAGGCAAACTCCGCTCCAGCCTCATGTACTCAACAAGGACATGCTAAACATGAAAGGCTTATATCGCGAACAGCGTGTTAAGAAACACGGGGGAATGCTAAATGAAGGTTAGCATAAACACGAGGGGATGCTAAGGCTAGTTAACACGAGGGGCTAAATCCTTTACTTGCTGAGCATTTCTTAAATAGCTGCTGCTATTATTCAGTGTTTTTGGTGCTGCAATGAATGGCCTGCAGAGCTAAAAAGACAACAAAAGAAATGCGTACCAACAGGGTTTATGAGTGACTCCAGGATACTGGTCGCTGAGTCCAGGCCTCCTTCGCTGCCTCGGTTTGACGGTCTGTGTCCATAAATAGCGTCCACCACATCGTACCACTTCCATGTACTTCGCCCATTCCCACTACGGCCGTTGCTGTCCTTAACTTTTCTGTAGTGGGCTTTCATTTTTTTCAGCTTAGCACGACACTGCTCGGAGGTGCGCTGGAATCCTTCAGCTGCCATGCGCTGAGAAACTTCTTTGAAGACTTTCTCATTTCTTATCATCCCATCCAGCTCGGCCTGAATGTTGCTATCTCCGATGATGGTGAGGAACGTTTGAAGCTCCACATTGGACCAAAAGCTATTACTCGCAGGCATTTTCACACACAAGAAGTACAGCCAAACAAACACTGGAACTCGACTCACTTCTTTTTCCATCCCCTGGGATTGTCGCTGGTAGTTACGTAATTTCTCCCCCAATCAGAGGACTCTGGACCTTTTACGCTGTGGCTCCGCCCAGACCAAAACTCTCTGGACCCACAACAGAAGGGGTCCCGCTCTGGCCCGCTACTGGACCGGTTCGGGTAAGTTTCCTGGACTGGTTTAAACAATCGAAACAAAATATTTAGTGACCCGATCCTTCCCATTCCATGCCAGTTTGGTCGGTGGAAAAGGCCTATAAGGTGTCACATTCAATTTCTCACTTTGTGATGTACACGACTGCAGCCAGGAGCACAGATGCTGCATGAGCAGCTGAACAAACTCTTGTGCCAGGTGACAAAGACATGTCCAATAGAGGTTCTGGTCAGCAGGGAGCTGCTCCTGTGTACTGTCCCAGTCAGAAGTTATTTCCACGGCTTTGGATCGCTACAATGTCAAACACACACACACACACACACACACACACGAGAGGATATGGAGGAGGCTGGTTTGGACTTGGAGAGACATGACTCCTTTCAAGACATGTGGATGGATTTGAAGGAATAATGTTTACTCCGCTTGGGAGTCACCGTGTTTCTGCAGCCAGTTGAGTCCTATAACAAGAGGAGACTGTTTGAGACACTGTGCTTGAGCTTTGCCTGTTAAACAAGTGCGATCAGCCTCCTATTTGGACAAGTGTTGTCATGGTCTGCGTCAGCCCCTTCCCTTTTTGTGCCTCCTGGTGTCCTCCATCCCTCTCTAGATTCCCTCTTGTGTCCTTTTGTTCCCCAGCTCCTCTTGTGCTCCACTCCAGGATCTCCCCTTGTGCTCTCTTAGCGCCCTCATGTGTCCTTGTCTGCATCCCTGTTATGTGTCTTATGCTGTAGCTCTTTGGCGCCCTCATGTGTCCTTTTTCTGCGTGTCAGTTTAGTGTCTTATGTTTGTAGTCCTTTACGTCTATTCCTCCCAGGTCTTGTGTCGTCTCGTTCATCCCCAGGTCATCCAGGTCTCATTTACATTCTGTGTCCTTTTAGTCCCCAGCTTCTTTGTCCCCAGCTCAACGTGTGTGTGAGATTCAGCCTCCTGCTCAGTATTTGTGTGTAGTTCTGTGTGTGTGTGTTAGTCCTTCCCGCAGCCCTTAGGTTTAGTTTTGGTGTCTTAGAGTTTCTTAGGTTTATTTGGCCCTCCTCTGTTTCTGTTTGCCCATTTTGATTATTAGGTTCACCTGTCTTCCCGCCAGCTCTCACTTCACACACCTGCTGCCATTTTCCCTAATCACTTCTCCCTGTGTATATAAGCTCTGTCTGGTCTGTGTCTGATGTCGGTTCATTGTGGTATGTTGTCTGCGTTGCTCGTGCTCTGTATGAACTTTGTCTCCAGGTTTTTGTGCTCTAAGAAGAGCTTTGGGTGTTCCTGTTCTCCAGGACGTTTTGGACTTTGGCTCGCTGCCTCGGATTACTTTTTTTCTTTGTCCTAAACTAAAAGGATTTTACTTTGAACCACCTTCTGCCTTTTGACATCCTGGGTTCTGCGTCTTGGGTCCAAACCATCCTCCTCAAATCGTGACAAGTGTCATCTGTGGCACACCTGAAAGTGCAGTACAAATTTGAAGCCAATCGAACAAAAAAAATTCCAACCTATTGCCCCTTTAATTTTTTAGCTCCGGTCACTTTAAAATCATTTTCTTCTAAACTGTAGGTGCTGAAATGACCGTTCCAGTTAAAAAGGATTCATTTTTAGTCCCCCCAAAGACACATCCTAGTTTTACAGCTGTTGCATTACCTCTAGGGCAGTCTAGCTGACCTCTGCACGCCAAGATGATCCTTCCCATTAGGTTTGGCTGGCTGGAGGAGGTGAAGTCATCCAAAGTGTGTTACTGTGGACCCAAAGAGGAGCTTTTAGTTGTTTTTTGCACAAGCATTAGCTGAGGCTTAGCTTTTAAATAGATTTGAGCCAACACTCACCTGAGATGCTGCACGATTAGCATGAAGGTTTAATGGGTTAACTGGTGCAGAGCTAGTCTCCCAGTCTTCCAGCAGGTGCATCCATGTTTCACGGTGTCTAATCCTTAAAGGATGCTTCTGATCTCCTACTCAGGTGTGACAGTCATGCAGTGGTGACGTTTTTACCGCGTGTCTCTGCTATGTTTTGGTCACGTGAACTCCTGCGCAAAGCTGCTGTCACAGACGCGCGTTTTGCTGAGTCCGGGGAGCGATCAGATCGTTCCAAATGATTGTGCAGTGTCCAGGAGCCTTCTGTCCATCAACACGTGTGTAGATTTCAATGATCATACCACTAGACTATCTGCTAACGGCTTGCTGTCTGCGCAAAGCTCACCACCATCTCCGTGCGCACAGGTGGTTCACGCTTGGCTGCCTCCTCTTGTCGTGTCCCGTTTTATCAGCGCAGCTGCCCAGAGATTCCCGTTACATCCGTCCTCTTGTTGTTTTATCAGCTTAGGTAGGTGTGCAGTGTTTCCCGTTACATCCGCGGTGTTGTTGTGCGCTCCCAGCTGACATCCGTGTCCCGCTCCATTGGCACAGTTGTCGCGCGCTTCTCCGCTCCGCCCAGTCACCGGCATTGGCTCAGTTGGCACGCGCTTTGTGGTTATCTCCGCCCAGTCACCGGCCAATTACCTCTTTCTTGGAGTTCATCTACAGGTAAGCATCGTGTCCACGTTTCTCTGTAATAATTAAATGGTTTAAAGTGCAAATTTACCCTGAACAGTGAATAGAACATGTGCATGAAGTTGTCATCTAGTAGTGTTTGTCATGTTAAAGTTGTAGTTCCTTGCAGTAAGCTCAACAGAGTGCTAAAATCCACCTTTTCTCACAGTGAAATGAGTGCAAATCAATCTCATTTAATAAAATGGAAAGAGTTTAGCAGCACAACACACATATAAACTACAGGTTGTATATATATAAATGACTACAATGCATAACATGTCCAAAAGTGTTTGAAGCTTTTAATAAGCTGTGCAGGAAGTTCTCTTAAAGCAAAGGTTTTTAGCCACTAGAGGGTGTCATTTTGTAGTCTTTGTCATGTTAAAGTTGTAGTTCCTTGCAATAAGCTCAACAGGTTAGCTGTTACACTGTGTTATTACATTTATGACAGCTTGACATGAGCACACACCAGTGTTTACACAGGATTTGGTGTGGAACAAAGCATTTACTGGACAAGGAGACTTCTGTGACTTTGTGTAGCTTCACACTAGGGTCAAAAATAAACACTTTCTTCTATTTCCCGTCCTTAGACACACTGACATCATACATCAAACATACATACCTTAGTGACCATGGCATCCAAGTACCACAACTGCCCCATCTGTGGCCGCCCCTTCGCAGCTCTCTCCCCCATCTCAAAAGGGCCCACAAGGTGGACAACGGCGAGGAGCGTCAGCTGCTGCTCAAGCTGGCAAGCAAGTGGGTGTTCTTCCGTTATGAGCCCTGCCCCGTCTCTGGGTGCACCTACATGTCGTCCAGGTGTGATAAACACCTGGAAAGCAGCCACCCCGAGCTCTCCAAGGAGCAGCTGCAACGGGCTGTAGACACCGCCCAGAGACGGGTGACCATCCTCCAGCTGGCAGCCCTCAGGGCCACTGCCCCTCACCCGCCAATGGTCAGCCAGCTGGACCAGGAGGAGGACGACTCTGACGTCTGGTCAGAGGAGGAGGCGGAAGCGCAGGCCAGCTGCCAGGGCTGCAACACCCTCCAGCGCAAGTACGAGGGTGTCAAGCAGCAGCTGGACAACCTGCGGAAGACCTTCCGCCTCTACCACCGCAGGGTCTCCAGGTTCGAGCGGAGGACTGGGAAAGTGAGTTACACATGCTTATAAATTCTATTTAACTCATGAAATAATACTCAGCAAGCACGTGATCAAGTTGCTCCTTTAAACCACGTGTTTTAACATTGAATTTTTTCTGATGTACAGCACTTTGTGCTGTCTCTGACTGCTGTAAATGTGCTATATTTATAAACTGGACAGTGACATTCACATGTAATAACCATTTTGTTTATTTTTCTTGGCTTTTTTGTTTTTTTTTAGAAAATCACTAAAGACCTCCCTGTTCCGGAGGAGGTGGACGTGCGTCCATCCCCGTCAGCCGCAGCAACGCAGAGCCCGGGAGGAAGTTCTGCTGCAGCTGGCAGACGCCCTTCCACCCAGCACGCTGTCAGACGCCCTTCCACTCAGCACGCTGTAGACGTCCTTCCTCCGTGCACGTCCGTCCACCACCGCCTGCCTTGACCTCTTCTTCTGAGACCTCCTCCCCTTCATCGTCACCGACAACCTCCCCACCATCACCACCACCACTCTCCCCACTCTCCCCACCATCACCACCACCGTCCCGGCCATCCAAGACGCCCAGGGTCTCTTGGGAAAGCGTCTCGGCAGGCGTCGGCGGACAGGCCGGCAGCGTCGCCCCGTCCTCTGGCCGGAGCGAAGGAGGGGACTCTGCTCCACCGGCCAAGAGGACCAGGAAGGTGCACCACACCGGTGGCAGCCCATCTTCCCCGGAGGCCAACCAAGAGCCCCTGTCGCCACGGGAGTTGGCAACGACGCCTCGCCCGAGTCCCGCCTCGTTGCTGTCCGGGTTCTCGGCAGCGATGGGTTAGTTTTCTTATCTGTTTACCTCACGTCTCGATGAATATCCTTCCCAAAGGATTCCTCCTTGTTAATTGCTACGTGAACGTGTCTCCACAGATCAATACCTTGACGACTACCGCTGCTTCCTCAAAGGGGTCCAGCACACACACAAGCAGGTGGACAACGTGGCCTCCAAAGTCATGAGGGTCAGGAGGTTCCTGAATTTCATGGCGGTGGGGGCCCTTAAGGTGTGGGACTGGACCTTCCTGTCACGCACGCAGGTCATCGTGGAGTAAGTGTACATCACCTGCAGTCAGGCAAAATCACAAAGAAAAACAAAGTGTTGAGCTTTTTCTATTATGTTCTCTTCAGGTGGGTCGGGCATCTGAGGAAATGTGGCAAGAAGGTGACCACCGTCACCTTCTACCTCAGGAACATTTACTCCTTTATGAGGTACTTCAAGGAGACGCCACCACCTCAGTGCCGGCTGAAGAGCACGCAGGTCACTGCAGTGATGCGCACCATCCTGCAGTGCATCGGGCCTCTTCTCAGGGATGTCAGCGTACATCAGATGAAGGTGAAGGCAGCCAAACAGTTGCGGCTCATCCCCGCGTCCGATCTCCGCCTCTGCTGCGAGCGCTGCCGTCAGGCCATTCCCGGGGTGCTGGGTAAGAATCGGTGATGTCGGTGTTTACGCTTTGGAGGATGTCACGATGGGTGACAGGTTCTGTCGAGCGGAGATGTTAAACAGAGCTCACTTGTGTTTGATCTTCACAGAACAAGTGGAGAAGGAGCCGAGGGACCCGAAACTCCGCCACAGCTTGTTCGGCTACTTCGCTGCTCTGATTGCGTCCATATATGGATACCGGACGGGCGTTATCGCCAATATGAAGGTGGCGGAGGTGACGGACGCCCGAAGCCAGTACAAACCCGGTGGCCCCGGGTTTATCATCAACGTTAGTAGAAAAACACTCCTTTGTCTTTGCTTTGGGCATCGTTTCTCTTGTGTTTAACCACGAGGTGTCCTCTGTTGCAGATCGCGGAGCACAAGACGAACAGGTTCTTTGGGTACGCGCAGGTCTTCCTCAAAGAAGACGAGTTCCAGTGGATGGAAAGGTGGCTGGCCGTCCGAAAGGCGCTCAAGCCAGACGGAAATCTCGTCTTCTTTGGAGCCACTGCGCGCCAAAACAAGAACTTGGTCCGCTTCCTCCAGGCGGCGTGGGAGGAGATGGGGCTGGCAGGGAAGCCCACGTTCACTGAGCTCAGGACCGCCGTAGCGTCATATGTGAGTTGTTTACCAGCGTTGACGTGTGACTCTATATGTCGCACTTTGTGTAGATGAGCTCTTAACCAACCACAGCCAGCAAGTTATTTGCTGGACTAAAGACAAAAATACTCACTGCATTTTCATGTGTCTCTTCTTTGCTTCACGGCTTCAGGCCAAGGAAAAGCACACTCCCAGGGTAAGGGAGATGATCTCGGCGGCCATGTGCCATGACGTGCGCACGGCCGACAAATTTTATTCTGTCTTCCTGGACCCTTTCAAGAGCGGCGCCGTCAGGGACATGTTTGAAAAATCCACACTGGAGGAGGACACTACCCGGGAGGATCCATTCGACATGACGGCCGAACTGCAAATGATCTTGCCGAGCGAAACGGACTCTGCGGAGACCTCCGCTTTTACACCTCAGCTCCCTCAGGCCAAGAATGCCCGGCGGCGTCACAACAGCTCGGAAACAGAGGAGGAGGGCCACGTCAGCTATCAGGAAAGCGGTACCTCGGAGTCTGAGGAGGAGGGAGACTCTCTGGAAGAGGACGAGGGCGACCGTCGTGGTGTAAGTTCATTCACACTCTGAACGGATGTGTGTTGTTGAGCACTGTGACCCTCCCTCACCGCTTTATGATGATTTCATTATGTGTTCATTCTCCAGCAAACCACACCTGTCCAAGGCGCACAGCCGGAGACGACCGCCCCAGCGCTGCCTGGACAACCTTCTGAGGTGAGTTCTTTCAGTCGCCATTGTTGACATCATCCTGGGTTCAGTTGCTTCTGGCTGTTAACCTTGAAGGCTGCTTTATGATGATGATGACTTTATCATTAATGTGTTCCACCCTAACCCTGGACAACCGGAGCAAACGGATGAACTGGAAGAAACGGCAGAACCTCAGCCGACTGCAGAACCTCGGCAAACAGAGGAGCCTGAGCTGGCATCATCTCCCCTGAGCTCACGTGTGCCAGCTGTAAGTACAATTGAAAATTCTTCATCTGTCATTGAGCTCTATTGTCATTTCTAAACGTGAGTCTTTATCTTTTGCATGATCGCACACAGCGAAGAACCACCCGAAGGGCCAAGCCATTGTTGGTAAGCATTGTTCATTTCATATTTTGATCATTATATGTTTTCCTGTTTGGAAATAACTAATGAATGTTTTCTGTTTTCCTATACACATCAGCGTCAGTATCCCAAGGTCCTCCTGAGCCCGCTGAAACTCACAGCCAAGAAAAAAAGTGAGCAGGCAAGGCGGACGCTACGCTTCAAGACGAGGGTAGTCTTGTAGTTTATTTCATTTGTTTCATTTGTTATTTTACACCCTGTGGCTGTTTTTTGTTCACTGTCCTGCAACAGTCTCATTTTGTCTACTTCATCTTTTATTGGAAAACTCCTAAGTCTGTGCTATTAAAGCAGAGTTTTTGAAAACATGCTGTTTTGTATTTCACACACACACACGCACACACACACGCACACACACACGCACACACACACGCGCACACACACACACACACACACACACACACACACACACACACACACTTGACCTTTTCCATAAAAATGTAGGTAAAATTAGAAACTTTTGCCATTTGCCCTACAAATGTAGGTAGAATGACATGCTTTTGCCATTTGCCCTACATATTTAGGTAAAATGACAAACTTGACATTTGCACTCTCACTACTATGTCATTAAAATTACTAATTACTATTATTACTAATTACTAATTACTATGTCATCAAAATAGCAAACTTTTGATATTTCTATTACAAATGGACCGTATGGCCCTGAACTAGGCTGACAATATAAGTACAAAGTGTGCTAAGTCAAATTATGCAAGGTGAACTTTTGGACCTTATTTCACCACCTTAGCAAGATGCTGTCAGGATAAAACTTGGATGGGATTTTTACTACAAACTAGACCCTTTCTACAGTACTTATGCTGAAATCAGGGGCCTGACCACATTTTTCTGGGTTCCATTTAAATACAGTTAAATTTGTGGACTCTTGTTAAATAAATGGCAGGCATTTTTTTAGAGTGTCCCTGTAAAGACAACACGTCTGTACCTTGATTTGAGGCAGACAACTGGATCCAAACAGGTGTCCTTTGATTGACAAAATGGGAGTTGTTGTCCATTGACCTGACAAATGTATGTGAAATGGCAATGTGCCATTTGCTGGACTAATGTATGGACAATGGCAATGTGCCATTTGCTGGACTAATGTAGGGACATTCTCTCACCCTCAAAGTGATTTTGGTGTTTATTTATAGATGGTATTGAGAACCTAATATTTCTAACCCCTTTGCGTGTGTTGGTACGCCTGAATTGAATACATAAAAATGCCCAACAGCTATCATTTGCCAGTTTATGCACTAATATATGGTAGTTCCATTGGGCCGTCAAATGTAGGGGAATTGGCAATTGCCATTTGATGTGCAAATGTAGGGGAATTGGCAATAGTTTGACATTTGGCGGGCAAATGTAGGGGAATTGGTAATTTATTGACATTTGACGGAAAAATGTAGGGTAACTGGCAATTATTGCCATTTGCCGGACAAATATAGGGAAAAAAAGGCAATTATTTGCCATTTGCTGGACAAATGTTGGGTAAATGACAATTTGCCATTTGCCGGACAAAGGTCTAGTGCCCGGCCAAACGGCAAAGTGTCACCTCCGCATTTGCCATTACCCCGACGCTTTTGCCATTCCGCATACAAATGTCGGGCTAGTGTCAAAACAGTTGCCATTATCCTGACATTTTGCCATTTGCCCTACGGATTTGCCATTTGACATACAAATGTCGGACAAGTGACAGGTCGGAACATTGGCCCCTTAAAAGTTTACTTTTTGACAAATTTGCCACCCCGTAGCCCCAAACTCCACCTTGTGGATCGGGGCGGTACTGTGCCAATCGCCCTACGTCCCCATTGTAACTTTGGAAAATCGCAGCGAAGCCCCCGAGGGCCCCAGGGGGACGTGCCTCGGAGCGCCGGGCGGCCCCCGGTCCCGGCCCTCCCGGATTCTTGGGGGCCTCAGGGGCTGGGCGGCGGGGGCCCGAAGGGGCCCGGTAAGGCGCGGGGGGGGCGTGTCTGGCGATTTCAATGGGCGATTGTCCCCCGGGGGCCTTTGGGGGGAAGGATTTGGCCCCTGACACTTAGGAATTTTTCAGTCACCCGCCTCCCATTTGTTTCAATGGGGCGACTTTGACGGTGAATATCTCCGGAATGGAAGGTCGTAGAGGCTCGCAACCAAGATCCGTCTGCCATAATTGACCCTTCTGAGCAGGCCAGAGTTGTCCGCGAGTTTCTACGACCTTCCGTTCCGGAGATACAGACAACCGGATGTCAAAAAGTGGGCGTATCTCCGGACCGGAAGGTCGTAGAGCCAAACGGATGCCACCAATTGAAAGCCAGACCCGTTCGTAGGGGGGGTAGAACTTGGGTTCATGTCGCTACGACCTTCCTATCCGGAGTTATTCGCCTTCAAAGTTTCATTTCAGGGGTACAGACGATCGACAAAACCCTTATACCCTAACCTAACCTAACCTGGATTTTACAATTACCTACATGTGCATAAATCCATTGTTACAAGGACACACCCTATCACATACTATTCTATGCTTTAATATCATGTTCGGTAATAACAAGATACAAACATTATATTACATCATGGCTATAGGATCATTCTGGGGACCGTTATAGCCATGGCAAAGATAACCCCTTTAAATTAGATTTAAATTAGAGCTAAAGTAAGCACAGGGCTATACTTGAAAGTGCAGTTGATACCACACTACAAACTATGCTGTTCCCTGTCTCACCTCTTTTCCTCTCCCATTCCCTCTCTCACACACTTAGGATTGGGAATTGGGGGAGCCATGTTTAGCCTAGTCCGGGTCGGATGTGGTTGAGCGTAAGACCACAACACCACATCTGTTACCTGGTCCCTACCAGTTCTTGTTCCACCCTGGTTTTCTCCTCTTTTCCTTTTTTTCTAATCTGTTCTTCTTCTCGTTTTTTCTTTATTCTGTCCTTTCAATTTTTTCTATTCTGCTCTTTTACTCTTCATTGATACGAACCAACAACTGGAGGGGGGTTCTTGAGTGACATGCGACGGCCCGTGCATTGCCAGTGACTCCCTATTCAAACTGTTTCGGTTAATGGACTGATTCAGGGGAAACTCACTGAGATTCATCTACTCTATCTACTCTACCTAAAGCCTGATTTATGCTTCTCCGTCTGCGTCAGTGCGGAGCACACGCAACGCCATTATCCGTCCTTGCGTAGGGCTCCGACAGGCACGCAAGTACGTACGGAGTCGAGCCCACTTTTTTAAACATCCGTCGAACGAGACGGATTATGCAAGCTTGTGATTGGTCAGGATGCCGCTGTTGTTTACAGCGCCGCCATTGCAAAGAGAGCCGAGTTTAACTAGCGGCAGACACAGAAGCTTGAAGAATACCTCGCGAAAAAACTCTAAAAATATGAACGTTTCATCCTCCCGTGACTGGAGGAGTGAAAAGATGCGCAGCAAGCGTTTTATTTGTGGACGGAAATGACAGCAAACGTGGGTTTAGAGGTGGGGAGCGCATGAAGCGGTGGGAGAATGAGAGACAAATATGTCCGTGTTAAAAGTCTCTTATATACACAAAAAACACAATATGAACACACGATCTTGGACCGATACATGACAGGATACCACAGAACAGCGCTACGCCCTCTGTTGTCCTGCCGGGCAATTGCTTTGCAACACTCTCCAGGAGACGGAGAAGTAAAAGAGCAAAACGCTTCCGTCAATCCGTGCGTGTCTGTCCCTTGCGGAGCTGATGGAGAAGCATAAACCAGGCTTAACCCTCACCCTAACCCTGGCCCCACCCCCCTCCTAACCCTAACCAACACCCCCCTCTCTCTCACCCTAACCCTGGCCCCACCCCCTTTCTAACTCAGGGTATCTGCAGGTTTAAGGGAGCCAAATTTAAGACTTTTTAAGACCTTCTTTAAGGCCACTTTGACCAAATTTAAGCCATTTTTAAAAATAAATTTAAGCTATAATTTCCAGCTATTGCCTGGAACCGGTGCTAACCACGTCGTGAACGTGGGATTAGCCATCCAGTTACCATTAAACTTGCACTTCCCATGGCGCAAGCTCCCACTAGCTTAACCAGCTAATGTGCTCATCTAAAAACAGCCCCCTTTCACAACCAACTGAATGTGTACGGTTCCGCCTATGCCAACATCATACACAAAAAATGCTGAACACCAACTAGAAATTCACGAAAAGTTTTATAGAAATAAAATAATCTTGTTTATTTGGTCTTTGGTAATTTAAGACCTTTGGAAACTGGATTTAAGGATTATTTGTCATTTTTAAGGATTTTCAAGGCCTTAAATTTGGAAAAGTAAATTTAAGACTTTTTAAGACTTTTTAAGGACCCGCGGATACCCTGTAACTCTAACCAAACCCCCCCTCTCTTACCCTAACCCTGGCCCCACCCTTGTCCTAAACCCTAATTTTATCCCTGACCTTTTAGGACGGTGTACGGTTATGTTTAGGATAACCGGTTTAGTTTATAGATAAACAGGTACAATTATATTGTAACATTATAGAGGACTTAATCATTACATCTGAACGGTGCCTTCACTACACAGAGACTGGATTTTACAATTTATCGCACTTACAGAGGTCCCTTAGTGCAGAGCAATACGCTATCGTGTAATATTCCATATTGTCCCATTTGGTATAGAAAGATACTAGATACAAAATTTCCAATAAGTCATGGTCTAACTATCACGCCTGAACGGTATTTTAATTATATAGGGATTGGATTTTACAATTAACTACACGTGCATAAATCCATTGTTACAAAGACACGTGCTATCACATAATATTCTATGCTTTAATATTATGTTGGGTAATAACGAGATACAAACATTATATTACATCATGGCTATAGGATCATGCTGTCATATAATGCTCTAGGTAGGAGCACATGGTGTAGGGTAATTATTGACATAAAACTTTTAATAAGTCATCGTTTAATCAGCACGCCCGAACGGTATTTTAATTACATAGGGACTGGATTTTACAATTAACTACATCTACATAAGTCCATTGTTACAAAGATACGCGCTATCACATAATGTACTATGCTTTAATATCCTGTTGGGTAATAACAGATACAAACATTCTAATACATCATGGTGATAGGATCATTCTTTGGACCGGTTAGGGCCAGGATAAAGATAACCCGTTTAAATTATTCTAATGCGTCACGATTGTATTATCATGCCTGAACAGTATTTTAATTACGTAGGGACT